AGTTAGTACATAGTCGACCTGGGGATCTCCTCTAGACGATATTGGCTTCACAAATGGGGTTTCAATCATATATGCTGCACCTGTCTACATTAAGCATCATAATCCCATTTTACATTATCCTATGTCAGAAAAGGGCAGGGGTAAGTGGAGGCTTTAGAGGATGAAGCTGTTTTTAGTTTCCTTGCAGTGCTCAGTGCTGCTTTGAGGTTACCCATTGTAGTGTAAGCAGAGCTGGTGGCAGGCGCTGTACTTTGAAGTAATAGGTTAAGACCTTAATTGGAGGTGGGTTGTAGACAAAGGCGCGAATCAAAGGTAGCTGATGTCTGGGAATCTTCACAACGTTAACTTACAAATGTGCAGAAAAGCTTCCAGTAACATCACTAAATTGTGAGTGCTAGAGCTTTGATTTTACCGTCCTGTCACCATACAGCTAAACGTTTAAAAGGTGAGTCACAACAGAGCCTAGAATCTAGATCCAGTTGTGTCAGAGAGAACAAACATTTCATGCCAAACTGTACAGCAGTTGGATCACATACATGGGAGAGGAAAAAAAATGGGAAAAATCTCAACCTTCGAAGTTTCCATTGGAACAGCTCATAGTTCGTGGTGTAGCTTAGACAATTTAACATAATTTAGTTTCTGGGTTTGAGCTAATGACTTAAACTATTGTTTACAAAAAAGGCGTGGTAGTTGGATGAAATCTCTACCTGCCATTAGCCTTGGTCCCATGACTAGTGTGGATCCACTCTTCACTATTTCAGACACAGACGCACCCCACACCTAAGATCATTAGTAGTAAATAAGCCAAGTTTCACAATTTTTCACACCATTAAGCTTGCAGGGAATGCCTGACCTGTCTGTGAACTTTCTGGAAACTGGAACAATATAGCATTAACACTGTAACTACTACAGCAGTGCGCTGATCCTTAAATGTACTCTTGTGTCTTGCAGAACTTTGCTGCTCAGATGGCAGGAGGATTTGACGAGAAAGCAGGTGGTGCACAGATGGGCGTGATGCAAGGACCAATGGTAAGATATAAGTTAATGGCATTAAAACACTGCCACCTAGAGGCACGGGGAGACACAGCAGGCTCCCAGATCAGATTAATCTTGGTCTACTTTTGTGCAACATAAAAAACTCTGCACATGGGACGACAAAGAGAGGCGAACAAAATTTGTAGCGCAGGAAGAAGAACAGAAGATTTAGAACAGATATAGAACGGCTAGGTAAACCGTTGCCTTTTTGAGGAACTAATTAATTAAAAAAACATTAATTTACTGTCTTCCAAACTCCAGACGTTATTGGGTTGAGGTGGCAGAGGAGCCCAGTTTAGACTGTTGCCCACTTTAGTGAGAACCGCCAGAGCAGAAGGTGAATGAGCCACACAGGCAGATCTTCGGGCACCCTGCCCTGGGAATTCGACTCCCTCCGGCAGAGACGTCAGGCTCACTGCGGTTCGCGGGCGGATGTGCCGCCTCGGGGTCGAGGTACAGCCTTCAAGCTCGGTTCCACCCACAGCTGAGCTGCAGCTGTAAGTCTTGCTGGGTATTCTGGGCTCCACGCTAGGCTCTCGCTTGGCACTGGCCACAGGAAGAGGCCTCCCAGGAGCTTACCCAGGGACAGCACCCCATGTGCTCCTCTGTCTGGAGGTTGCCCCAGTATTTACTGCGATCTCAGAAAGTGGGGAACACCTCAAGCCCCCCCAAGACCCTTTATTGTGTACCCATAAAGACCTGCACTCGGAGGCGATTCTTGCTTTTTTGGCTCACCTTCTGAAAGACCGATTTGAATGATTTTAATAAGGAAAACAGATTAATGGAGATTTCAGAGAAAGGGCATACGCTGGCTAAGGTATTTGCCCAGGAGCAGGTGATACAAATGAAATGTAAACTATTGAATCCATCTGATTAAAAATACTAAGAAAGAGTATGATTATGAAACTGATGGAGTTTAGTTTGTAGATTGCAAAGTAAAAATAACTTGTCTTTTTTCCTTGGGGAAAGATAATTAAACTACCAAGGAACTGATTCTTTGCTGTATGTGACCTGTGCGATCCCTGGCGTTTTCGATGTATTCTAACTCCTGTACAAATATTGCCTCATGTTTTAAAATAATAATACAGTAATATGAGACACGCACTCTTTTCTGTTGGCATTGACTCTAATGGTGCAGATATAGCTTGCCTCTGTGCATCAGCACATGTGTTTTCTGCGATTCAGGAAGTGTGTTGTCTTTCCAGAAGTTGTATATTAAAATGGTAATGTCAGAACCAGGTAGGCTCCGCACAAACTCCATTTGCATTGTCACATGCATTTCCATGTCAGTGCGATTGCTATAGGAGTGTTGTAACCTAACCAGTGGTGTTGGACTAATTCAGGTGTAGTCTCTGCATGTTTACACCTATAAGCGATAAACAATATCACATGTCGTCCATAGGTCAGCATTCACTGCCATTTTTGGACATGGATGGATGTGATTTTAGGGTAAAAGCACTACAAAATGATTCAGTTTTGAAATGCCACTTGTGCAAGAATTCCTCCGCAGCTTGTGAGATTTTGGATTGAGAAATCGGGAGAGAGATCTCAGAACTCATCATGGACCATTTCCATTCGGGTCTTTCACAAGTGCAGTACACCACAGTATAGAATGGCATTGGGGCTGGTCCCAGTGGAACAATTAAGAAATTCAATAACCATTCATCCGTCTCCCCCTAGACACCTGTGATAATATTGTCTTGGTTGTCTCTAGTGTCTCGGTTTTACACTAGCTGAGCCTGGAATAGTCTTAAATCGGTCTAAATTCACATAGCCTGTAGTCTTGAGAAGGGGGCTGGGCTGCTCTGTGTGTGGTCTCCATCCACAATTCTTGTATTTGTAATGGGAAGTGTGTGGGAGCCTACACTGGTTTGGCTTGACTGAACTGAATACAACCCGCCTCCATAGGAAGCAAAATATTCATTCTTAATACCGGTGATCTCCTGTGAACTGTTTAATGCAAAACATAACAGATTTCTGAGACTGCAAACAGAGTACAACAGGCACCATGTCTTATATCCCCCATTACTCCCCCCCAAAAATGCACTGGGGCATACAGTATGGATACATACATAAGTCTGGAAGAAGCTGTTGAAGCTGCATAGTTCTCCTGCACAGCTGCAGCCTGTGACCCCAGCAGGAGAGAGAAGAGCTCTCTCTTTCTCTTCTCCCCGTGCTGCTGAGGAATGTGTGATTTGTGGTTCTGACAGCTGAGGTAGAGGAACTATTTGTTTTGCTGTGGGGCAAAATGGGCACCCATTAGATTACTGATTTCAGGGGCATGGGGGGGGGGGGGGGTCATTCTGGTAGTCAGTCGCTTTTTTAAAGAAATGCACGCTTGAGCTCGGTATCTAGGCTTAGAAGAACAGAGCTGGGCTCAGACAGTGGGAGTGAGCTCTGCGTGTGTGCTGCTCCAGAGCTGCGGGCTGGTGCCCTCACTGTGTTAATGACATCACCTTGACCTCTCTTCTTCTTCCATTCCACAGGGCCCCATGGGTCCCCGAGGACCACCTGGCCCCACTGGATCTCCTGTGAGTACCGAACAGCCTTCCCTGTATAAGTACCCCCAATCTGGGTAAATAAAACCACAGTCTGAGTCTGCGCATTGGTCCCGAGATGTGATCACCTGCCCATAACCGTCTTCTTCTCTGGACAGCACTAACTTTAGTGACTGGTGTCCAAAATTAATATTTCCTATCTAAAATGTTGGAAAAACAAAACACTTTCATCTAAAACTGTAGGTTACATGATTGTAAGAGACGTATAGACATAATGCTGGCCTTTGCTATAACCCACTGCTAGAGAAACATGTGGTACTTTCTGTGAGAGGTTAAAGAACTGTGCACGGGCTAACAGTCTGTCAGAGCACATTCAGGTGAACAGTATGACAGTCCTGTTCAACTAGTACAGTCATCCTGCCATTCTTACTCTGTCAGTGATTCATACAGTCATATCTTTGTGTCTTCGTGTACTGTCTTCTTAGACATACAGTATATCAAGCCATTTTGCAACAAAACACAGCCAAAACGTTCAAAAAATGCAGTGTAATCCACTTAATTAAACAGAATTGGAAGCTGGAGTATAAATGTGAGTTTTGAGGCAGGATTACATAGTGCCGACAGACGTGCAAGATCTCGTGTGGGCTGGGAGATCATGTCACAACCATGAGGGGCAGAACAGAAAGCAGAGTCTCCCGAGGGTTTCAGGACTGAAAGAAACATTGTTCCCGAACAGACCGGCTCCTCTCTGTGTTCGTCTTCTGCAAAAACACACCTAAAAAGTGTGAGAGTCAGGAGTGCTTCTCTTTTGTGTTTGGTGATTTTTTTTTAATTAGCAATGTGGTATATTCTGAAATAGTGTTTCAAAGGTGGGATGTGTTTGCCCAGAGGAGTGTATACATTTTCCCCACTGTGTGTACTTGCCTGGTGGTGGGAAAACTCTTATCACTGCAGCCATTAAAACAGTCCCATTCAAAGTGAACCCTAGTTTGTAAGAGAGATTTATATAGCAAAAACAACATTGTGGCTTTTTTATACGTGTATTAAATCTGAGCCTCCCGTAGTTTTAAGTGTCTTCCTAGATGTTAGACAAGAAGATCATAATCACATCAAAGCAGACATGATATGTACATGGTTCTCACTGCCAAGCTGACAGCCCAGAAATGTGTCAAGCCTGAAACTTTTATTAAAGCCTTTTATCTTACAACAGAGGTGGAGAAACCTGGGGGCATTTTTCTGAAGACACAGAATACCTAACAATTTACGTTCGGCATCCTGTGTATGTTATTGCCAAAATGTTTTTTTTTTTGGTAAGAGAGCAGGACTTTCCGTCTTCAGACGTTAACGACCTGCACTAGATCTGCCAAGGTCTGTAGCATTGTCCTGTTTAGACATGACACTTAATTAGAAACTGGAGTCATGTGGGGGCCTCAATCTTTGTAGACGTACCCTTCATTTTCTGCCAGGGCACGGGGCCCAATTGGAGGATTAGCACTTGGGATAAAAAGGATTTTGAAAAGGAATGTAATTGCTAATGTCATCTTGACTGTTTTAATGGAGTTTGTGACCACTAGGTGGCAACTAACAGTGGAAACGTGGCTGTTAACGGTAGTGAAATGGTTCTGGGCGTTATGAATGCACATCTGGACTCTTCGGGACTTTGTTTTGGTTCAGTTAAGGCTTTTGAATTTCATGGTTACTAATGCTGAAGAGAGCCTTGCCCAGATCAATTCCCGTATATGTAAATTGGATGATTATTTCATCCAGTTTATCTAAAGGCAGAGAGCCTAGCAATTGTGCTAATTGATCAAACGATTCAGTGAGAAAAGGGATTTTTTTTTTTGTCTGAGCACCTAAGGCCATTCCTAAATTTACATGTCATGCTAAAGCTCACAACCGAGGAACAGTTCTCAGTCTTTACCTGCCTTCATCCGCCCTCTTTTAAAAGCATATTGCTAAGCACATCCTTTATGTAGGATTGTATGTGACAGGTAGACAGTATCGGGCAAAGTTACTATTAAGTTAATAAGAAGTTATTTTAAGACTTAATGTATGTACAACTACACATGTACTACAAATGATCTGAATGTTTCCCCCAATACTTTTTAGTCAGCAATACCTCCATCATGAGAGAGGTCTTCGTTACATCTAAACACTAATATACAGTTGTTTTAAGCCTTCGTATGAGTGGAGAAAAATTCAATGAAACATGAAATCATGCTGCCTGTTACCTGCGCCGCTGTATGTGCTTTGCTGTTAGCCTGATGCCAGACGCTGTGTTTGGTAAAGTGGTGTACAGCGGTACGTCCTTAATGACCCAACGAGACCTAACGAGGCGGGAGGTCTAGTGCGCCGCAGCTCGGGACCAGCCGAGCAGCTTGACGTCCTGCTCTGCCGGCGCTCAGCGGTCTCCCCTCGAGTGTAACGCTTTGTGCTCTGCACCCTAGGGCCCACAAGGTTTCCAGGGGAACCCCGGAGAGCCCGGCGAACCCGGCCCCTCTGTAAGTACCCACGCCGCCGAGGACCGCGCCGCCGCGCCGCTGGGTAACCTGGGAGGAGGGCGGCAGCCCCAGAGCAGGCTGGGAAGAGCCGCAGTAAAGGGGGCGTCACATTCAATTGAGATCAGCCTGAGGGCTGGCAGGGCCCGACACGGCCTCTGAGGTCCTGGCACTGCGCGGTGCCAGGTACCAGCTGGACTTCAAGCAGAGGCTTTTGTTCACAGGCTTAATCTACCTGTAAATCCCATTTGCAAGGCGTTTGTCTGCTCCAGCACAGCGTTTAATTAAGAAACACGGACAGTGTGGGAAAGCAGAGAGGTTACCTAAAATCTCCCTGCCCCCCCCCGAGAGAGCTATGAGCTGGACAGTCCAGCTTCACTGCTGAGAACTGTCCATTAAGTGGACTCTGTTCACATTTCAGGCCCACCAGCAAAACTATTTTTAAGACATTCCCAGTGTATAAAGTGATATATCCTAAAACTGCATTTGTCTTCTACGTAAAACCCCAGATGTTGAAACTTAATTAAGCACACGGGACCGCAGCCTTTTATCACAAACTATCCCTCTAATGTTGGAACTGACATGAAGTAAAAATAAGTCTCATTGTCCTCGGCATCTAAAGTTTCACCACCATTTACAGACTGTCATTGGTTTTATCATTGAGGTCTCTGCTTTGATTTCTGCACCGCTGTTATCTCAGTGTCTTTCCTGCTGTGACCTTTATACAGGGCCCAATGGGACCCCGCGGCCCCCCCGGACCTTCTGGCAAACCTGGAGATGACGTGAGTGCTGCTGCGCCCATCCCTGCACGCGTTCGCACTGGGAAACCTCACTGTAGGGAACATGTCACTGAGGGGCCAGTGGAATGCATGGACTGCACAGCTGCTATACATGAGCTGTAACTGCACTCCTGTAAAGATGCCCTGCTTTTACACCGAAATTATACTCTTAATAGTAGCTATTGAGCAGTAGTCTTCGTATAAGATTGGACGTATTTAAAATTCATCTTCCACACCCGAAGAAGGCTCCACGGCCAAAACGTTGTGGTTTCTTTCTTCTCTTTTCAGCCTGGAATAAACCTATTACTTGTTCATCTACCATATGTTCCATTCAGGCTCTGTTTAAATAGATTTAAAATGTGTAAAACCGCATTTTCTGGTGTGTTGTTGTAGAAGTTTAAAAATACTGTCTCAATGTGAGAAAAATCTGTAGGGGTGTGCAGGAAAACAATTATCTGCGCAATCGTGACTCCAAAATGTGCACTTGCAATCCTTGGCCACCAGGTGGCATGTGACTGTATAAAGACAAAACATTTATCAGTATGCCATTTGGCCACCGGGTGGCACTGTTTACATTTTATAAATCACTTTTGACTAGTAGTATCAAAGTAACATTAAAGTTTAAAGTGAGAAGACTTTTAGCAGTGTTCTTAATTTTTGTAGCAGATGTGAACTTTTCTTCAGCTTGGTGTTTTTCAACGTTGTCTCTGCAGACCCCTGTATTTATTATGTATGTGTTTTCACTCACCTTTTAGGGTGAGGCTGGAAAGCCTGGCAAAGCTGGTGAGCGCGGACCTCCTGGGCCCCAGGTAACTGTCTGGGAAGGTGGGGTGGGGCAGAAGCAGGCCGAACAGGGCACGGGCAAGGGGAACTCTGCAGCAGGCGCTGTCAAGATCTGTCATTTCTGGGCTGCGGTCAGAGGGACTGAAAGAATCAGAGAACTGTTTAGCGAACAGCTCAGTGTCTGCAAGCCTAATGCTGATTGTGTCATTCAGCAACATTCGGAGGCAGAAAAACTGTTCCTATGTAGCAAGTAATAATAAAGCCATGCTCTAATCTGGTAGAGAACCATTGTCACATGAGCCCAGAAGATGCATTTTGAGGACGGAAAGCCAGTAAGGGTCTTAGCAGAGTGATGAGCAATACAGACAACAGGTCATTTAAGGTCATTAATATTTAAAACATTGGCTTTCTTGCTGTCAGTGTTTTAAATATTGAACAAAAAGAAAGATGTTTTCTCAGTTTTCTTTTTCCTGAGAGCTAAGCAGCCGTCAGCTCACCTCTTTACTGTAGAACCATGTACTGTAGGGCTGCCTTTCACACAGGTGGTGAGCTTCACCGTCATTCATTTAAACCCTTGTAAGAAGAGCTCAGAATGAGGTTATACCGTATATATGGAGTTTCTGAAGCATCCAGATTCACACTCCCTTCCCTGTCCTGCTACATTAGTAAGACCACTCTTGCAGAGGAACATTTCAAGTGAACTGCAGTATACAAGCAAAAAACAAGCAGATTTCACAGGCTTGGAGACCTAGCCCGAGCTTACACTTAACTCTCATCGCAGGTGCTGCTTTACAGGAACCTCAAAGCACAATCAGTTTTAAATCATCTTGTTTCTGGGTGCTCTGGCCTATTGTTTTACCTATGTCGACAGCACTGCATTGTGTTTTATTGATCCAGCTGCAGGGCATAGCCAACAGTAGCGGGTGTTATTTTAAATCAAGGAATATAAACTGCTTGAAAACACCATTTATTATTCGCCAACTGCTTAGAATTATTAGCTACTGTAGATGTCTGCTGTCCTTGTTATCCAAGTGGATTGAGATTCATGGTGTTAATATTTGCCAGTGCTCAGTAGCTGATCTACAGAAGTGAAGTTTGCAGTTCTGCATGGGAAACAAAGTGCTGCTGAGTACATGCGTGTCAAAATATATTTTTGTGGTACTGTAGCTGCTTCAGCTTCACAATTGGTAGATACTTAGGCAGTGTTCAAATCAACTGGTTCTCAAGTTACAACCTGAGATCAAGCAGAAAGGCTCTCCCAGTTCAGTATCATAAGAGCAAGCGTTTAGATGCAGCTGATATTCCTAACGCACCTTTAACTTTTTTTCTCCTTCTTACCTCCCAGGGTGCTCGTGGATTCCCAGGAACTCCTGGTCTGCCTGGAATCAAAGGTCATAGGGTCAGTACTGCTACTGCTGTTTTGAATGTGGGGTCTTCAGTAACAGGATTGAGAAAATGGATGGTGCCCAAGTTAAGAGCAGGGTTATCTGTCCTTTTAAACAGGAAACACAGTTAATCATGTCATTTGCTGCCACTGTGAGCTGTGTTAGATGATATGGCTTGCTGGTGTGTAGTGACCACTCCTCTCTAACCCAGCTCCTCTCTCTGCTGCACAGGGTTACCCAGGTCTTGACGGGGGAAAGGGTGAGGCTGGAGCTGCAGGAGCAAAGGTAGGCCTGTTCTTGTACAGCTCAAGGCGTTG